TAATTAAGTGATTACATAAACTTTATTTATGTCTAAGTTAGGATATGATTACACATCAACTGCATTAGACAATTGTGTGTGATACAGTGGTAATATCCTTACCTTTGGGTCATAAATTCTGGGTTCCAGCTCCCCCCTGCTCCAAATATATACCACAACAGATTGTTTTAAAAAAAGACACATCAACTGCATGGAGCATGTCCACCAGATGAGGTTGAATCATAGTAAAACTGTGAACCATTTCAGCTGTATTTCCCATCTGTGGGGATGACTTTTGACTGGTGTTTTCTCCCCATTTAGCATGCTGATTGGGGCTGGTTCAGACACTTCCTCCTCCCCGAGTGAAGAAAGATTGTCTTCTAAGGCAATGCGTGAGCTGATTCGTCAAAAGGCTACCTTCAACTTTCTTAACGTTTTCTAACCAACCTGTTCAGTGATGTTATTACACGCCTCTGGAACAGGTGGGATTGAAACCAAACCTCCTGGCTCAGGAAGTAAGGATTTTACTACAACACGACAAAAGCCCTCACCCTTAAAATTTCTTCCTTAAAAATTTAAAAACACCCTTAAAAGCTTGCTTCTACCCTCATTAGGACGAGTCACTCTGCCTTGGCTATTATGATAGCCTTAATAAACCAGAAACGGAAATCAGTAATTGGTAAACCGGAAGGGGCCCAATAGAGTTTTTTTTTGTTTGGATAATGTTGCATTGCATCCTGCAAACGTCATATAAAAGGAGGGCCTCCTGAGATTGAAGAGATTTGTATTGAAAAGCGGGAATATTAACTCGGAAACGAATCCTGGCAGTGTATCTTTTTACCTGTTGGGGAATGGTACTCAAGAGAGAGAAGATGACAACATACCACAGGCTTATGAATGGACTCATTTTATAAGATGCCATTCTGTGTGAGGTGATCTCGTAGGTATGTGATCCGTGTGAGTTCGCCCAGTAAAGGTTCAGCCCCTTGAAAAGTCATCAAACCGAAATGTGACCATCTCAATAGTTGCCCAACAAGTGATTCCCCAACTAACATCATACTCAACGTTCCTGAATTGTGCTGTAAATGGCCGTAATATGCTTAAGCGAACACATCACATCTTCACAGCGCAGCCCGAACTTCCGTAAAAATTATTATTCTGGTAAACAAAAACGTATATTTATTTTATTCCTAATTATTTTTTCTTTCCTCATCACCAGAATAATAAATATATGATCTAACCAACAAACCATACTCGTAGCAATAAAACGTGCCAGCTAGATCAAGGAGGAGTTCGATACAGTTCTTAGGGTGAATGACAGCAAGGGTTTTCGGAAGAAAGTGGGAACAGGGGATTGAGTTGGATGATCAGCCATGATCATATTGAATGGTGGAGCAGGCTCGAGTGGCTGAATGGCCTAATCCTGGCCCTGTCTTCTATATTTCTGTCTCCCATTTAGAGCCAGAGAGGGGGAAAAAGGTAACAAATAATACAGGAACTTCCACAATTCTAAATATAATCATGTTATTTCGATATTTTAAAACTATTTTTTCTAACCTCTCCCTAATTTGAATCTTAATTTATAATAATTCAGATCAAATAATACTTTGATCCATAACACTGGGGAACTCCACATATAAAGTGGACCAATTCCTCTCAGAATCAGAGCAAGATATTTCACTTTATAAGCTCCGTGTATCTAACATATTCCAGTGTCATAATGGTGAGCCCGCAGCAAAATGGATATGACGGAAGGACAGAAGTTTATTGTTACACCTTCACGGTTTGACATTCGGTTACTGATTAATTTCGCCGCAGCGACAGGGGACGAGAACAAATTTTGGAAACGTTCACGAATTTTGTTCGGTTGAGAGTATTTCCGTAATTGTCCGCCGCAATTTAAAAAAAAATCAAAAATAGTTTCAAAGATAAGCAAAGAAAAACAGAGGAACGGTTTAGCTGTGAATTTCAGAGATTGAGAACAGACCCATTGACAGACATTCTCCTAAATTGTTCTCAATTAGTGGGGGAAGATGGGATACCGCAGCGGGTTTACTGTTGGAATAGGCACATTGGCAGAGTTCTGCAAATCTTGGCACAAAATCCTGCGTTGGCTTTTGCTACTTGCGGCAATCTCAAGTTTAGAATTGCGAGAGAAATCAATATCTTGATGTATGTAAGAAAGAGAGTCTAGCGCCTATCAACAACGCACATCAACTGCTTTGGTGAAGAAACGCCAACAGGAGTTTACAATTCATACTAGGAACCCTCCTCTACAAATTGCTGAACACTTTAATCGTGGTAACTTGTTGTGGCCGACAACACACACTCACTCAAAGCAGTGACTAAATCATGGCTAAATCGCTGGTAATCCCACTGGCATTACCTATTCGAACTCACCTCTTTAGTACTGGGACTAGTAATCTAGCAATGTGTTAAATACCAATCGGGGTAGACAGAAAAATGACCACACCTCAAACCCAACCCACCCCATCCTCAATGATTATTCCACCCCACACCCTCCCAGCCCCGGATCCCATCCCTTTGTAGAGGCGAGCTTTAAGTCGCTGAGTTCACAATTTCTACTCGAAAGCTGCACCATCTAAGAACAAGTTACCACGGAAATCACTGGAGCACTAGACAATCAATTAAATCTAATATCGTCCCTCCCAATCCCTAGCCCTTGTTAATAACCACTTTCCACCATTTTCTCTTTGCGGGGGAAACACAAATCGTCTTCAAACTCTCTGGGCATGCAGCCGCTTTCAAAGCGAATGTGCCCTCGTCACAATGTAGATCATTCGTTCCGGATTACTACAGGGTTATATTCCCAATCCCAGCTGCACTGCAGGGTCCGGACCATATCGTGGTCTGAATCCAGTGACTGTTCTTCAAACCCTGAGAAGAGTCACTGGACTCGAAACGTTAACTCTGATTTCTCTCCACGGATGCTGCCAGCCCTGCTGAGTTTCTCCAGCTTTTTTATTTAGTTTGTTTGTTTCAGATTTGTAGCGCACGCAGTTCTTTGTTTTAGTCTGCCCTTTTCTTGCAGAGGTGTGTTCCCGGCACACTTATTTGTTATCTGGGCGAAAGAACCATTATTTCGTCGGAGGAGTGAAATTATTGTGTCAAAAATGACGAGACACACACTGTGTTTGCGATTTTCAGAAAGTGAAACTAACTGTGTGGCTTATAAACAAAAAATAAAAGTTAAATTGGGGAATCGGTGACAAATGGCGAAGTTAAAATAAAAATCGCATTGCATTCCGCCAGAAAATTAACGAATGGCAAATTCTGTGATATTTGAGGGAAGATTTTGATGTAAAATAGTTATCTCGGTCTATAAAGCCTCAATCTTGATTAATAAAAAACTGAAATATTCTTTGTCTTTCGGTAACTTAACGAGTTGTGCGGGATTTTCCGATGGTATCCTCCTGTTGTTTCCCCTGTTATTTCCTGGATCCAGTTGAGACAAACGTTCGAAGCTTTCCCCCCCTTAATCTACAGTTTACCATACTCATTCTGCTCGAAATTGCGCTATACCTGAGCAAAATCCTAGACTAAATTCCACGTTATTGTTCAACAAAAAAAAATCTGCAGCGCAAGCAGTGCGGATTGGCGACCGTGCTAGCACAGGTGGAACACTATGGCTATGAATTCCAGCTGCTGTGCACGTTTCAAATGGTTGCTTATCATGCACGAATGAAGACTTTTGGTAATATCTTGGATACTTCGATTCACAGAAAGGCTCCCCCTCACAATCACTCTCAAATCACAGCGCCCTTATACCCTCTCACTGTTGATTTTCTGGGCTCGATTTTGGCGCAATGCTACGCAAACCTACACCAAAAACACTGAACACGTTCTTCTGCAGCTAAAGTGTGTCAAACATCTTGCCAAGACATGTGACCCTGCACACAAATGAAAATTGGGCACGGCTTCTGACTGATTGGATTGCGTTGAGCCTGGCGCTAGGATCCAGTCGGCAGAGTGCGTGACTCGGATGGGGATGAACAGGGTTGGAATCTCTGGGGATCTCATTAACAGGTTGGATGAAACCCCATGTGCACCGGCATATTAGTAAAGCACCATAGAAACGGATCGTCCACAAGCTGCTCCCCAACTCAGTTTTACAATCGGCACAACATTCTCGCCTTTATCCCTTCAATCATAGTCTCTTTAGTTAAGGCTCACCGATATTGCTACTTAAATAAAAATTGTCTAATCTGATCATTTATGCACACGCCGGCGTGAAAATAATCGCTTAAAATTTTCGTTTGATGTAAATAAAAACACAACAAAAATAACGCCGTGTGGAATATACATTGCAACTAACCTGATGGTCTAGGAATATTTTATGATTCTGTTGTTTTATTTTAAGATTCTGTTGTTTTATTTTCTGATCAAAGCATTATTTGCTTTTGAAAGATAAAGGTTGGAGTGAAAATTGAGATTAAAAACTATATTAAATATCAGTTATGTTCTGATAATTGTTATAACATAATCATAGGATAAATCTTGCAGATATGCTTAGAAACAGAAATACATACACACATCAAATGGTCATAATTCTGATACTTCCCACATCAAGAGAGTGCTAATGGAGCACTTGATGTTATTGTTTTCGAAATAAAACGGCAAATAACGTTACCAACTAGTGTCGTTTGTTCAATAAGAATCCAGTCTATTTCCCCAGCCCCCCAAAAAGAAAGCGCCCGGGGATGTAAATGTTGCAAATATCACGCTTCCTTTAGGTTCCCACCAATTAGTCTTTGAATAACATTTACATCTCCCTGTTCAACAATGTGCCTCTAACCAGACGTTTCGAATTGAAAACCTCTAGTTTAGAATCTGGCCTTATCGGTAAAAGATTCGTTTTGACATTAGGAAACACAACAGAATGTATATGATGGTTTAAGGCCCACTCTTTTTCCCCAGGTGTTTGCACCAAGGCAGCCAGGTTGACACCTGAGGTAAAACGCGCCAGAAATTCCCAGGATGTCTCAGATGAGTATTTTTACCTGTTCGCCGCCAATCTAGACGCTATGTAACCTCCAGGAATCTGCGTGAGGATATATCCCCAGAAAAAAGAACCGTGGATCATTCCTACTGTCTCGGGGTCCCAGTTAAACGTCGCTTTCTTGCGGCAAAGAGAGGGGGTGGGGGTGGGGGGAATGCAGGACATGTTATAATGTAATGCTCGGATAAATCTTGCAGATCATACTTAGAAACAGAAATATACATACACGTCGAATGGCCAAACTCGTATTTTAACCTTAGGATTTGAGTGATCTGTTCAGTTTATTATTACAGGCTACCTTTGATGAGACATGAAACAAAGGGGAGAGAACAAGATTTAATCTCATTTAGCCATGGACATAAATATTTTGTCATTTTTTTGTCACTGTAATAAAACAGGGAAATTATGCTATTCTCTAATATTTTACTTTTTGCAGCCTTAAAATCAACCATCCCAATTTATCAGAGTAAATATATAGAATTAATAGAAAATAGAAAAATAGAAAAGCTTTGGGTTTTAGTTGAATTTTTTTTCACAATCTACGCGAAGAGTATGCACTCCTCACCTTCTTAATAATTGTATTCCCGTGATGAATGGTGCTATTGTTGACCATGTCCACGATAGCTACACCAAGATTACACCTGATTCCGAAGGAGATACAAAAGCCCAGGCCACTCATGATGGCGATGATATACCTGCGTGGTAGCCCAAAGCAGGTACAATCGCAGAGTGGCGGTTTCTTCGGCCTGACATTCTGTACCCTTCCATCTTCCGTCAGCTCGATATTCTCTGCGGGTTGCTGCCTCTTTTCTAGGACTCTGCATCAGGGCAACATTAGATTTCACACGTTCAGCTGAACATTGCATTTATAATGTTTCAAGCTACAATTTCGATAGACAGAACATCCCTGGGTTCAGTTACCTTCGCTGCCTTCGTCAAAGCAGTTTCCAGTCTGGGTACGTTGACATTAGATAGTTTAATATTTCATTAATTTGTGAGGGTTAAATATTCTTGATAAGTATATACAGCAGACAGACAAATAATAAAACGCTTGCCCCCCGTTATGTTGGTGTAATATTTGGACACACAAGCACACAATGTAAAATATACACGAACAAAATAGGTTGTTCGTTGCATAGTTTATTTTATATACACGCAGCTAACGATGACAAATTTATCTTTTAAGTGAGAGAATTTTCGTGCGGTATACACTTAATTTCAGGTGTTTATTTCTTTAACAAGTGTCCAATCCAGGGTCCAATATTCTTTGCATGATACAACTTTGCTAGAATAGTAACAAAATGTATTATTTAAAAAAATAAGATTTTTGCCCATGTTAACGACGCGAATAGAAAAAAAATAGAATTAGATTACCGAGCATATTGTTACATTATTGTGGAGAAAATGATGTAACTGGTTCAAATGTAGCTATTGCATATCAACACTAATGCATACAGGGAAAAATAACGAATTTTTCAGGCAAGAGTGGAAGCTATAGCCCAATTAAAAATATTCGAGTATTTAAAAGAAAATATTATTGATAAATACACTCATTGCCTAAAATATAGTTAAATGTGACTTAAAATAAATAGAAGTCTATATAGAAAAAGATGGTAATGATTGATTGTGAAATAAAATATTAAGCGATTAATGTGACAATAATCGATTAGTAATCCAAATAAAGCGAAAGGTTGGGGTGGAAATGTTTGGAACATTTACTCTAGAGATATTTGTTTTGAAGATTGGTACACAGAAGCGGTTATGATTTTTTTTAAAAAAGTAATCAGGTGAATTCACTGGTTTAGTTTTAGGTGTTTCATAGAAAACGTTGACTACTTTTGTCACTAAGATCTGTATCGATCTGAAGACATGCATTGTATAATTGTTGATTTGATGAGGAGGCACAGCAGTGTTATAGCTCTTAAACAGGTTGCTGTGCGTGCCGCACTGTGAATTAATGCAGAAATGCAGGCGCAGGCATCCATTCCGATATTGATTCCTTACACGTTTGCCGGCCGGTTCTTAAGGTGCAGATCGGACACAGGAACTCCAGATCAGGATCATAATACCATGAGTTCATTTTACAGGACAAAAATAAAACCGTGCTTGTAGTCTTTCTTACATAACCCGTGCTAAATGTAAAAAATCAAAATCTGCTCATGATTGAAAGGAACAAAACTGCTGACAGCTATATCCGGTTAATTGCATTTAGTCCAAAGAAATGGGTGGGGTGTGTGAGGGGGCAACAAAATAGATGGCTATGAGGAGAAAGTGAGAGCAAGAGGGCACTGAGTGGTAAATTGTCAAATCTGTCTTCTTCTGTGGCATGAATGAGGTCTATATGAACATTATTCCTAACTATCACATGCATTTAGTATCAATTTAATAACATTTCCTGAAATGATTTGGAAGGTTTACAACGTTATTAATCCAGGGTATTTAAAATCTCTTTTTGTGATGCATTACATTTTGACAAATAGTGTCAGCAGTCTTACCTGTACAAGTGGCTAAGGGACTTTCCAGCAAAATTTTTGATCCCCTCTTTGGCCGGAGCAAAAACCCGTTCCTTTACAGTATCCATACCCTCCAGAAATTGCTCGGAGATATTCTCTTATGAAAGAGTCATGCTAAAGATCTTGACTGTTCATTCGAATTAATTTGATAGAACGACCGAGTGCTCTCCAGCTACAAACGAGGATGCGACTCCAACATCAGCAGGTATTCTGCGGCAACTCGAACTTCAAAGAGGAAATGGGAAAATCTTATTTGGACGCCCGCATCCAACCACTGAACATTCAGAAACAGCCATAATGTTCAGAAAGCCTTGTTTCAGAAATGTAATGTTGCAGTGAATGGAAGAGGACCAAAAAAATAAAAAAAAAATAAATCCCTGGATGCAGATTTCAACAAATAAAGTACATACATGCAAGCAGTGGCAATCTGCCTCTAAGACTGTTCTTGGCGTGGCTAACTCAGTATAAGCGGGTGCTGGCGTTTTCAGGACCTTGGATAGCAGCAGCGCACAATTGAAGTGCTACAGAACGAGAGGGTGGGGGCGCTGGGAAAGGGGGACGATTGGTTCGCTAACTTTCTCGGGGATTTGAGTGGATTTCAGCAAATCCCTCACCGTCACCAGGCTCCTTCCAGGCTCGTGGATGCTATGGAAACAACATCAGAAATCCCATCACCTCGCCACAGGTTTCCACAGGCGGGCCGCTGTCTGGCGAATGTTGGAGTTTATTAAAAATTGACAAGTTTTCTCTCAGTTCACATATGCTCCCCTCCCCGTGAACGTAAATCCAAGCCACGACATTCTTTCTTAGTCCTATATGTGCCTACTCATCGCGCCTTCTATTAAGGTTGCTGATTTATTGAATATCCAGGGAGACCCAAATACACGTTCATTGGTCTCTCTATCCTTACATTAGGAGGGGGAAAATATCAAGATTACATGTATACAAAGGAAAGTCTATGCTTAGGCAACACAGCACAGTACAAAGCCATCTAACAGCTCTCCTTTTCTCATTTAAAACAATAGTTTACAGATATTAAACATCATCCTTTTGAGGCCAACATGCAGATTTGAACACGACCTGGCATTTAAAGCACAAATCAGTGGGAGCCTAAAATTTAATCCATTTTTCAAAAAAATTGCAAAAATACGATTTTGCATTCGAATGACTGGATGAAGGACCCAAGACGTTAAATAAGACCAAACATGTTGCTGCGCCAATTATCAGAGTGACACTGGCTCGTTTAGGCGATGTCTCCGCCTACTGGCTCAGGTTGTCACTGCTCAGACTCTTAAACTCTTGTAAAGACAGAAAGCTGCCAGGAAACCCTGCGCCGTTTATGAATAACAGATTTCTTATATGCAATTCGACTTTTGGCGCTGCTTATAAGAGGAAGAAATATGCGATGATTTACATAAAGTCATTTTAACAGTGAATAATTGGAACGACAAAAGGTTGTTTCCTTTTGAATAATGAATCGTATTCGGTCAGAAAAATGATTTTACAGCTGCCATCACGCAATCCCTTATTTTAATTCCAAAAATGGGGTGAATGCCATAAATTAATTCGTATAAATTTCTAAGTTATATCCCATAAAATTTGTGATCATGAAGAACATTATTTTACTTGGTTACTCGCTTTGCATATTGCATCTCACGTCTATATAAGGTCTAAACTTTATCGTATGCGTCAATTTTCAAAGCTTATAATTTTTATGCAAAAACATTTTCAGAGTTTATTTTTGTTAACCTCTTTCTGTCACCAAGGCTTGCAAGTAAACCAAATATATTGATTTAATCTTTCCTAATCCTCAAACATTCTAATAAGTACCCCCTTCTATGAATTGCACATCTCTGGCTGGTCATTACAGTAGGTAATTGTTTACAGCTACACTGTTCCCAGATTTGATACTTTCAATTTGTTGAAAAGAAGGCACATTCTTTCATCACCTACTCATTCTTGCCTGGGGACCTAAGACTGGGGTATTCTTGCCTAACCCTAACACAAACCTTTTCTTTCTAGAACAACGTACTGAGTTTTAACAAATAGACTTGGGGGTGGGGATCTTCTTATCAACAATCCCAGTGGGACAGTGACCAAATCAGAATTAGGTTTAATCGAATTTGATGTCCATAATGAGTATTTAAGATTATTTTCAGTTGACATTGCTACAGTGATTCACTGAACTTCCCCAACTGAGCCATGAAACAGTCCAAGTTTGACACAAAGCTTTTTAGGAGCAGCCACTCAATACAAGTGATCTTGGTTAAAGAATAATTTGATTAATTTAAAATCCAAAAGACTATCTCCTACACATGAAATGCTGCCATACCACCACATGATGTGCTTTTATATATAATCACACAATTTTGACATTGCAAAAGTTAGCAGTCAATCCTTTAGATCCTAACAATGTAGTTCTAGTTGACTACAGAAGATAACTAGTAGAACAATGAGATCAATTTGCTTATATATTGTTTCAAATGCTGATCTTCTACGCAGGAAGTCCATTGCGATTAAGGATGACTTGTTTTTTTCTCAAGTCCAATGGGTTCTGAAAAAGTGCAATGCACAATGTGGAGAGTCTGCTACATGCAGGTACCTGCAGGACCAGGCATATGAGATGATGGGAGGTTTGTGTGCTCCCTTTGATATCCTGACTTTGCCTCTGTCTGCACCCAAGGAAGGCTTCCAATGGCTATGGTACCTTGCTGAATAAACCTTCACCACTTTGGTTGATGACAGCCAAGGGTTGGCATGGATGGGTTGGACTGAAGGGTCTGTTTCTGTGCTGTACATCTCTATAACTATGACTCCAGAGTAAACAGAAGTGTTTGATCACTTCACCAATGCTTTAAAGACACACCTAAGGACAATTGGCTCCTGTCCTAGGACTCTCCTGCCAAGACTGAGTTCCTATCACAATTATTTCAGGAGTCTAATATCAGGGAGATTGATATTGGTTCCCACAGAATACAGCTGGTTTTGAATAATCAGAATTTGATGCCAAGGTTACAGCTGGGGAAATGATACTGTTGTTGAACCACTTTTCTTGTTTCTGGATTTGGAAGAATTGGAAAAGGCACCATTCTTTTTCCAATGCTTTGAAGTACCTGCTGTAGATCATCCAGTTCTCTGAATCATTGTGTCGCCTAAGGAACACTGCTATCAGCAACCTATAACCTCAGTCTGAATGAATGCACGTCTAAAGTATCTACTTCTAGAAAGAAACTAGAGATGGAATTTGTTGCATCAATACATTTATTGTGTTTGCTTTAAGGTGAGGAGAAAGTTTTTAAAAGGGCACAAAGGGAATCTTTTTTACACAGAGAGATGGTCCCTTTCAGAAATATTTATATCGTCTATAATTATGGGTAAGGTGCCAGATGACTGGAGAGTGGCTAACGTCATGCCTTTGTTCAAGAAAAAAAGGGATGTATGGAGAAGCCTAGGAACTATGAGTCTGAATTTGCTGGTGGGTATGTTGTTGGAAGTGATTCTGAAAGATAGGATTTCATAGAATCCCTACAGTTTGGAAACAGGCCCTTTGGCCCAACAAGTCCACACTGACCTTCAGAGCATCCCACCGAGACTCATCCCCCTAATCTACACATCCCTGAACATTACAGGCAATTTAGCATGGTCAATTCACCTAGCCTGCACATCTTTGGACTGTGGGAGGAAACCCATGCAGACATGGGGAGAATGTGCAAATTCCACACAGACAGTTGCCAGAGGGTGGAATTGAACCTGGGTCCTTGGTGCTGTGAGGCAACAGTGCTAACCACTGAGCCACCCCAAGCATTTGGAAAGGCAATGTGGATAGTCAGCACAGTTTTATGTGAGGGAAATCATGTCTCATAAACGTGATTGAATTTTTTGAGCAAGTAACCAAGAAGATTGATGAGGGCCGAGTGGTAGACATTGTTTACTTGGACTTTAGTAAAGTCTTTGATAAGGTTCCGCATAGTAGGCTAATTAGTAAAGTTAGATCATATGGGATTCAAGTCAGTTTGCCAATTGGTTACAAAATTGGCTTAATGGCAGGAGACAAAGAGTGATGGTGGAAGGTTGGTTTCGGACTGGAGGCCTGTTTCTCTTAGTGTTCCATAGGGAACAGTGCTGGATCCGTTTTTGTTTGTTATTAATACAAATGATTTAGATGAGAATATAGAAGGGATGTTTAGTAAGTTTGTGGATAACACTGAATTTGATGGTATAGTGAAAGGTGAAGAAGGTTATCTAACATTACAAAGAGATCTTGATCAATTGGGTCAATGGGCTGAGGAGTGGCAGGTGGATTTTAATTTGGATAAATGCGAGTTATTGCATTTTGGTAAAACAGACAAGGGCAGGATTTATACAAATAAAAGTAGGGCCCTGAGTAGTGTTGTCGAACGGAGAGACCTAGGGATTCAGGTATATAATTCTTTGAAGTTTGCATCATGTAGACAGGGTGGTTACTCCTTCAAATACACCACCAACCCAACCCACTCTCCCACCCAATCTTCAGCGTATATATCAAGCTTTTCCTACCTACAATCAGTTCTGAAGAAGGTTCACACAACCTGAATGTTGACTCTTTTCTTTCCACAGATGCTGTCATTCCTGCTGAGTATCTCCAGCAATTTCTGTTTTTGTTTTATTACTGGGAATCTTGACTGACTTCCTGACTCAATGATGCCAAAGCTAATTAGACTGTTGCAATTATTATCCTGCTGTGATGATTAACTCAGGTGAGACCAGGCATGAAAACAAAATACCTACTAAACTGCATATTCTTTTATTATACACTGGAATACTAAGTGGTGAATATTATGATTTTTGCTTTCTCTGCAATGAAGGCTGACAAGCTTATTAGTTTACAGAACACCATAATAAATCCAAATAACTGGGGGAAGATGGCTTACTTTCAACTTATTATTCAGTTTTAAAATTAAACTGATCATATTTTACTTAAGCAAAATACTGCAGGTGCCGGAAGTCTGAAATAAAATAAACAAATGCAGGAAATACTCAGCAGGTCTGGCAGCATCTATGAAGAGAGAAACAGTTTACATCGAGCCCAATAAACCTCTTCTTCAGATCTAGACTGAAGGGTTTTACATTGTTGAAGAAGAGGGAGGAGAGCTGGAACAAAATAAAAGGTGAAAGGAAGGTTGGGGAGCAGGGTAACTAAAGATCAATGATGTCATGAAACAAAAG